AGCCTCCCAAGTAGCTGGGACTACAGGCGCCCGCCACAACGCCTGGCTATTTTTTGTTGCAGTTTGGCCGGGGCTGGGTTTGAACCCGCCACCCTCGGTATACGGGGCCGGCGCCCTACTCACTGAGCCACAGGCGCCTCCCTATTTATTTATTTTTGAGACAGAGCCTCAAGCTGTCCCCCTGCATAGAGTGCATGGCATCACAGCTCACAGCAACCTCCAACTCCTAGGCTCAAGCAAGTCTCCTGCCTCAACCTCCCAAGTAGCTGGGACCACAGGTGCCCGCCACCAACGCCCAGCTATTTTTTGTTGTTGTTGTTGCAACTGTCATTGTTGTTTGGCGGGCCCAGGCTGGATTTGAACCCGCCACCTTAGGTGTATGTGGCTGGCGCCTTAGCCACTTGAGCCACAGGTGCCAAGCCTAAAAGAGAGCTTTAGACAAAGGCCAATGGGTGAATATTTAATGATGAATTTTGGGCCCTACATTAAAGAGGTGGGGGAGGTGATTGAGGAGCTAGAACCCAGGAAGGTAGCCTCTTAAAGCCCAGGCTTTGAAGGAGGGCTGGTAGATCTGAGTTGAAACTCAGTTTTGCCCTGCCTTGGTTTTATATCCTTGACCAAGTTTCATACCCTCCTTGAGTCTATTTTCTCATTTGCAAAATGGAATTATTGGGAGGATAAAATAAGGTGATTTGTGTAAACATGTAGCATGGCGTGTGAAACAGAGTCCCTTCTCAGTAGACATTTGTCCCTTCCTTTGTTTATCTTCCCATTCCCACTGCCTCCTGGTGAGGCTCTGGTTGCCAACGGCTAGCCCTGAGCTTTCATCACAGTGGCTCTTTTCCTAGACCTATTTAGAAGAAGGCAGAGATGAGCAAGAGGAGGGAGGCCGTAAGAGGCAGCCTGAGGACCCAGCTGTCACTTTGACATTCTGCAACCAGTGAACATTATTGCATTGCTATGACATTTCCTTTCCTCTTCTACTTCATATCTTCCAAAGAGTTTGAGAGCCCTTTCTGGGAAAGGAACCAGATCAGAAAGATCACTGGCTTTTGTTCATTCATTAACTAACTCATTGAAAAAGGATTTTATGGTGGTGCCCATGGCTCAGTGAGTAGGGCACTGACCACATACACCAAGGCTGGCAGGTCCCAGTCTGGCCCAGGCCTTCTAAACAACAATAACTGCAACCAAAAAATAGCTGGGCGTTGTTTGTGGGTGCCTATAGTCCCAGCTTCTTGGGAGGGTGACGCAAGAAAATTGCTTAAACCCAAGAGTTTGAGGTTGCTGTAAGCTGTGATGCCATGGCACTCTACCCAAGGTGACAGCTTGAGACTGTCAAAAAAAAAAAAAAGGTATTTTATGAGTGCTCCTAGTTTGCCAAGCATTACACACAGTACTAGGGATTGGTGATCCAAAAGAGATATAATCCTTGCCTTCATGGAACATATGCTCTACTGCAAAAATAAATAAACATTAATCAACAATCTAGTAAATATAAAGCTGCAATTTCTTTCTTTCTTTTTTTTCTTTTTTTTAAACAGAGTCTTAAGCTGTTGCCCTGGGTAGAGTGCTAGGGCATCACAGCTCACAGGAACCTCCAACTCTTGGGCTTAAGGGATTCTCTTGCCTCAGCCTCCCAAGTAGCGGGGACTACAGGCACCCACCACAACCCCCGGCTATTTTTTGGTTGTAGTTGTCATTGTTTGGCAGACCTGGATTCAAATCTGCCAGCTCTGGTGTATATGGCTGGCACCCTAGCCACTGAGCTACAGGCACTGAGCCTAAAGCTGCAATTTCATTTAATGACTTGAAGAAAGGGTAGGAGGTACTAT